AACCAAGATACTCCTGTAAAGGTACAAGATCCCAATGATGAATGTAACTGTATTTTATACCTAAAATGTACCAATAAACTTAATGGGGGGGAAAAAAAAGAAATTTGAGTTACATTATTCTCAACCTAAATTTTTGTATTACTTTTGTAGGAAGAGTTAAAGAGGAATGTCTCTTAGGAAGTTCACTTAATTTCTTTTGACTTTGAGTGGTCTTATCTATCAATGGAAAATAATAAATTGATCTGTATTTGTTTAATAGGATTGCTATAGAAAAAAGCTGAGATACTAGATATGAAAGTTCTTTGAAAATGTATGTGGAATTTAAACAATTAAATCTTGTGTGTGTGTGTGTCCTAAGGAAGAAGACTAGATGATATGTTTGTCAGATCAGGAAATAGTTCATCTACTTTCTGTTTCTAATTTTGGAAACTCAAACCTATACAAATACACTGCTCTGTCATTCCTGTCACATCAATCAAAGTCAATAAATTATTTCTTTTGTAGGATGTGCTTTTCCAAAGGTGTTTTTTATATGGTCGAACACTTCGACTATGTATGCATTTATTTTCTGGTTATATGTTTTCTTACACTGTACTGAAACTTTGTCTGAACTTAGTGATTTCTTCATGTTGCCTACAATGCTCCCTTCCACCTCCATTTAGCACTCTGAGATAAATTCTCTGTGGACCTGTCCTTCCCATTGATTTTAAGTCTCTTATTTAAGACTCAGGTAACTCTCTGTTACTCCTGAGTATTGGAAGAGAGCTGCTGGAATAACAATACTAGAGGTCTTCTTCAGCACGATTCAGGCTTATAAACACTCTGCTCCATTTATCATCTTCCTGCAGGCACCATCATTCAGCTTCTGTTTAGTGTTTATCCATCAAAGTTCTAGCATCCTTCAGGGTGCTCACAGGACTGAGAATATGTCCCATGGGCAGGAAGGAACATTCTGTGTTTCTATCCCACCACTCAAGGCTTCTTCTAGTTTGAGATTTAAAGGTCAAGTCTATAGATTCCAAATGCAAAAAGACCATTTAATCACTCAGGAACAATTGTGAAGATTATTTTTTCTGGGTTTTGTTTAAAAATTATTCTTAGAAGATCACTCCTTCTTGTTATCCAAATAGGTAAGTTAACTCCCTGGGTGAATGAGAATTTCCGCATCTTTAAGGATTATTGGAGGCATTCTCTCTCTCACAGTTACCACTGGCTCCTTTGACTTCCATCTGTTAGATTTCTTGTGAGAACTTTCCCTTTTCCATACCAAATTACCCTGCTGAACAGCATCCTGATTGTTTGGGGCAGTGATAACTGTCCTAAATGCACTGCTTCAAAACTGTGTGTAATAGAATTCCCTAAGCCCTACCCTTTTCTATTTTGCTAAGACAACAGCCTAGTCTAGCCCATTCTGTGGTGTGATGATTTTGTTTTCATCCTTCATATGCTTATCAAGCGGTCCTTCTAAAGCAAGGAGAAGCCTCTGTAATTCTCCCTCAGGAGCACTGTATACTCAACTTTTTAAATAAATGAAATTATTCTCACCACTACCCTCAGAATGAAGTTTCAGAAATTGAATGAATAACATGAAAAAGCATCAGAGAAGTTGCCTGATTCTTTTATTAAGCAAATGTTGGCTTTTGTTATGGGGGTATTAATGCACACAGTAGTTTCTTGGTATTTTGGATCATTTCATGAATAAAAAAAATTGATCATGACATGGGGGAATCCAAACATCTATAAATGTTTCAGGAAGATTACCACAGCCTGCCTTGAGTTTTCTTAGTGACTTTTCTTGTTACTTGAGAGGCTTCCAATAATTCAGCAGTATCAGGGATATATATATATATATATATATATATATATGTAGTTTCGTTGATCCCATTTTGCAGATGAGAATGTTGGAGTTTATAAATGTGACTTTCACAAAAGCATGCACCTAGTAAAATTCTAGACAGGAGCTGAGAAAAGCTCACAATGCAAGAACTAGAATAAACCTACCTGGGAATGGAATCTCAAGTATGCCACTTAATAATTTGTGACCTTCAGCAGATAAGTACACTCCTCTAAACCTCAATGGTGGTTTGTCATCTTTGTCGCTAAGATGCTGATTATAAGTGTACCTACTTCTTAGGAATGTTGGACTATTAAATAAACATATCAGTGTGAAGTAGACAGCACACACTCTGCCCAGATAGCAAGCAAATCATGATTATTCCAACTCCTCATTGAGGTTTTGCCTTTTTAAAATCTTTACCATGTCTCCTTTCCACCACCATCTTTCTTATTACTAAAAGGTGTATCTATCTTGTATCATCACAGGAAATGTTCCTCTTGCCCTAGGGAGCAGCCAAAGTGTTCTGCATTCCTGGGCCTCTGTGACTGTAGTCTATCAGTTAGAAGTATCCTTCAATAACCTCAGTTTTTGGGCCCTATAACATTATTGAGTCTCTCTAAAATTCTTATGTTGAATTCCTAATCCTCAGTACTTCAGAATGTCACTGCAATTTGGAAATAAAATCTTTAAAGAGTTACCTAGGCTAACATGAGGATATTAGAGTATGCCTGAATCCAATGTGCCTGGTATCTTTATAGGAAAATCTGGGTACAAGACATACACAAGGAAGATCACGTGAAGGCACAGGGAGAAAATGGCCAATTACAATCCAAGGAGAGAGGCCTCAGTGGAAACTAGCCCTGGAAATTGTAAGTTCTGTGTATATATCTGTTCTTAAGATTAATAAAGTAGCCATTTAATTACTAGTATTTTGGAGTAACTGGAGTTGAGATTTCACATTCCTCAGAGCATGTTGGCGGGGGAGGGGGGGAGGGGGGGGGATAGAAGGTTCAGTGCAAAACCGGACAGTGAAAAAATATGAATCACCCTAAGGAAGTTGGATTTTCTCCAATAGGGAGACAGCAAAGGATATTAGAATGTGAAACAGATTTTCTTTTTTTAAAAGAAATGTACGCCAGCATCTACCTAAAATAATGGCGTGAAGAAGAGAAATTGGAAACAAGAAAATTGGGAAATAGTTGTAATAAAGTCCTGACCCAAAGGATTTGCCAAAATTTGGAGAATGAAGAATTAAAGGATGAGCCAGTGTTTATAACTTGGCAATCCACAAGGGGAGGAAGTGACACCTGTCACCTGTCAAGGAGACAAAGGGAAGCGGGGTTTGGAGGAAGAGATGGAGTTTTCTGTTACACATTGAATGCTTATAAATTACAGAAGCCCTCTTGGTGAATCTGCCTTTTTATCCTGTCATTCTGCAACATCCTGTTGTATAAATAGTCCAAAGGATCATCAAGATTGGTGTGTCATTTTCTAAGCTGAAAAGCGTGTGGCAGTTCAATGTCGGGAGCATCTTTTGGCAAAGTAATCTGGAGAAAGGGATTCATACATAGCACATTGATTTGACTCAGCTATGCATTTGGGCCAGATGAAAGTGCAGAGCCTTCGCAGATATGCAGCTGGCAAGCAAGACGCAAACCTCACTACCCGGTGCTCCTACACCTGGCTGGGTACTACCTGATCCTAAGATGTTTTAAATTTGAATGATTAAAGTGACTCTTCTGAGATTGGTAGTGATGGACAGAATTGAGGAAAGGAATTATTTTTTTAATTAGCTGTGATTATGACTATAACTATAGACAAGGATGTATTAGGAAAATGTGTTGGAATATTCTGGTTAACCATGCATAATTCAAAGAGGTCAGTTAACAAAGTGCACTTGACTTGTGGAATTTAGGAACTTATGAACACTATGAATCTGTGTACATGAAAACTTTAATCAGTGACTAAGAACTCAGCCTTGAGCGGGCCAAAAGTACACTCTCCATAAAGAAGGAAAATACCATTGTAGGGGTATTTTTAACTTACATGAGAAAATATAAAATTTTAACATGCAGTAGCAAAATCGCTGCTGCTGCAAATTATAGTCCTTCTTATTAGTTCACCAAAGTGGGCTCAGCAGGGCCCCTGTTTGTCCCACCCTCCATCAGCATTACATTTAATTATTCTGTGTAGTTTAAATCCAGAAGAATGAAATAGAGCTTCTTTTCAGTGTCTAATTTGAATCAACCCAGACTGGCTTTCTGAGCTCCTTAGCAGTCTGGATAATAAGTCTGAAGCATTTGAGAAGATAGTGATGCCAGGAATGGTCACAAGGAATGCCCAACCTCATTTTTTTTTTTTAGGCCAGTTTCCATATATTCTTCCCTGATGTTTCTCTTCTGTGAGAAGAGGTAACATTATGAACTTTTTGAACAAATGTTTTCAAAAGTTGTGTTAATGGAGAAATTTCTTTGGGGGCTAAAGTTTCTATTCACCCTTTGTGACATGGTTTAAAAGAAAAAAAAACTCATTATCTTCCTCTCACTCAATCTCAGGAGCAGAAAGGAGATAAGGCAGGTCCCAAATGAACTGGTGGCTGGGTAAGCTGCCAGGATATCTAAGGAGCCCCTTTTTTAAAAAAATGCAGTAACACTCACAATCTTAGTGCAGGGCGATAAAAATAATTGTATTCATTACACAGTTTAATACAGGAACATATTCCTAAAATAATTTTCCTTGTCTAGAATTACACAGAATTCCGCTGAGTGTCACATCCAAGTGAATTTTTATTAGAAGGATTCCAACCAAGGCTTCACTGGCAAAGTGATTTCATATTTCATTTAATTTCTCAGAATCAGGGTGTTACTGAGTGCTGGCTAACAAACATCTGACCAGACAGTGTTTGTATTTTCAAGCCCAGGAACCTATGTGATTTCTCTTTGGACACTGAGGCACTTCAGGATTCCAATAAATACATTACTCCTGCTTCTTGTTTCCTTGTATATTGTTACAGAAGAACTATAAACTTTTGCACTGAAGCTGTATAAAAATAAGCTTTAAACCAACCTTTACATCCCATTTATTTGGGTCCACAGCTTGAATATAAAGAAGAATCAATGGTGTTCTAACAAGTTTTTTCAGTTTTTCCTTTCCCCATTTTATTTTTTGTAGATAAGTATTTGAAAAAATTTAATACATTATAAGTCTTGTAAGACTGTTGTGAGCCCATTTACCAAAAGAGCAACTTATTGGTAAATGATCACTGGTTTACAGTGGGTAATGGCGGTCCTTTAAAAGTCATGTTCATATCCCAGTTGCCAGAACCTATGGATATAATCTTATTTTTAAAAAGCTCCTTACAGATATAATTAAAATGTTAAGATAAGTAGGACATCCTGGATTAGCTCAGTGACCTTAAATCTAAGGTAAAGTTCCTGTCAAGACGGAAGTAAAGTTTGGAGTGACACTGCCACAATCCCAAAAACAGGTGGGACCAGAAGAACAGGAAGAAGCAAGAAAGGCTTCTCCTCCCGACACTTTAGTTTCAGCTTCTTGTCTCAAGAACTGGTAATAAATTTGTATTGTTTTAATTCACCACGTGTGTAATAATTTGGTACTGCAGCAATGGGACACTAAAGAAGTGATTTTAATCTTTGGGCATAGTATCAATTTTCCTTCTTCATTCTCTTTGGGGTTGAGGAACTATGGCACGTGAACACCATATCTGCTATTCTCATTGTCCAACCAAAATTTCTATGACTAGGATGGAAAATCAGAAGATGTCAATCCTGGGTGTCTTTTTCTCCTGTTACAGGGATCATGTTGAGTCAACTAGGCCCTTGGACCTGCCTTCTAGGCCCTTCCCTTCTGTTTACTGGCTGGGTACTCTTTCAAGAAGCTGGTGCATCATTCCTTCTAGATTGCCTGGGCTTGGTATACAGAGCTCTTGTGTTAGATCTCAACTTCTTTCTTTCTGTAGCTTTTTCTTCTACTCTCACCTCTTAGGCGACCAGCCACAGGAACTTTTCTGAACATGCCATGTTTTTTGCCACTGATGTGATTTTTCACTACACTAGGCTAAACGAGGGACATAATTCTTTTAGGACCCAGATTACCTGTCCACGGGAAGATATCACTCCTTCACCTACACCCTCTGAGTTAAGACAGAAAAAATAAAAGACAGGTAAAAAGGAGACAAGGAAACCATATAACTAATCGTACAACTTGTAAAATTACAACTTGTAACTTGTTGTAATCTTACAACTAAGATTGTAAGAAGTCCACAACTTCTGCAACATAGTCAAAGTCACCCAAGGGAATCTATATCAACATTCCTTTGGCTAAATTTAGGTTCTTTTCCTTCCAAACCCATCACACCAAACATTCTTCAGGAATACTAAAAGTTCATGAATTGGCTTCATCAAAAAAGTAAAGAGCAGTGATAAGAAACAGATTGAGAAAATCTTATCTAAAACAAAGGAACAAGTTGAGAAAATCCAAAGAATGTTTAAATTATCTATCCAGAAACAAAAAAACAACTGGTTCCATACCTGTAAAATGGGGTAGTTATTATCCTTTTTGGAGGTTGGGATACATTTTCCCAGGGATTGCATCCCCTCCAGATAAGCTTATATGTACCTCATTCCAGGAAAATATGCATCTTTATCTCTGTCTCTCAAAGGCTCACATTTTATTTCTTTGAGTGTGTACTAAACTTCCTGCCTAATAAAACCTTCCCAACCCTCTTACTGATGCATTCTGAAAATTATTTCTCTGCAAAAGGAGTCAGTAAACCTGCAATCCTATATTATGGGTGGGGTGAGTTAGGTTCCTTATTACAGCTTCTATAACCTCTTCAGACCCTGTCCAGTGACTTTTTTGTATTGCACATTATATATCAACACTGACATCTTATTAGAACTTCTGAAAAAGCTCAGAGATTTGCATGGTCTGTCTCCAACTCTCTCCTCTAGAGATACCTCTTATCCTTCTCTATCCCAGCCCTGAAAGTTCATCATGGTCCTTCCTCCCACAGGGCCTCTGCACACACTGTCATTTCTCTGAAGTCCTCTTCTGCTCTTTGCTTTGGCAGCTTTGCTAAAGCCCTAAATGATAGTGGAAATGTTCCATCTCTGCATTGTGATTATTTGCTTAACATCTCTCCTCACTGGGTGGCAAATTCTGTGGGACATGGATTATGACTGATTTTGATCCTAGTATATGTAGCCAACATATGGCAGAGCTAACAAAGCATATAGAAGATGGTATGCTTAGTGTGTAAGGATGATTTTCTGTGACTCTATGAGCTCCTCAAGGTTAGAAATTGGTTAATTTTATTCTCTAGTACAGAGAGACTGAAACTATTTAGGGAAGCATTCACTGAATAAATAGGTGAATTAAATTGTCCCTTTCTAGACTGCAGTTTTCTCATGTATAAAATTTGAGATTTGGACTAGACCAGTTATTCTTACATCTTTTAAAAAAAAATTATTATTATAGCTCACTTAGGGCAAAAGACTCCATGGTCTTATGCTATTTCCACTTACCAATAACAACAAAACAACAACAAAGAATTCAGTAGTAGTATAGTAATTTAAAATATTTACTCAAGTTTTCTTTCTGACTGGCAACTCTTTTGTTCTTTTTGCCCCACCCCCAATTCTATTATCCCTACTAATTTCCTGATTCAAACTAAACTGCTTTTCCATTAACTTAAGTAAAAATTGTTGCACCAGAAAGGTAGAAAGACCAATCAGTTCTCACATCTTAAATTCAACTCATACCACTGAAACCGGTAACTGGAGAAGCCCTGCAGGAAACAGACAGCCAACAGATCAAAACTGATAAGGGTTTAATACAGGAGTTATTT